ATTTGTTCTTCCAGCAACATGAAATTAAATCTGTTTGGCATGAAGCGGACTTGGGAAGCCCCTAAAGAATTACTTTTTTTTTTTAATGGTCACAAATCATCCTGAGACTAGGCATTGAATTCACTAGTACTTGGACCATATATATATATATATATATATATGTATATATATGTTTGTGTGAGTATTTCATATATAATATATGCAAGATATAATATATAATACATATGGTCCCTGCAGTTGGCCTTGGTTCAGTTGATCTCTGGCACTGCATATGTTCAGAGAGTAATCCCTGAGCTCAGAGCCAGGAATAGCTCCTGAACACTGCTGGGTATGTCCCCAAGCCCCTACCAAAAATAAAAAAGAAACCATTTAAGGTCATAATTTAAAGGTCCTTTCATAAACTAGAATCAAAGATTTTAAACTTTATTTTAGACATATTTTTATACTATCACATCAACCTTGGTTTCAGTTTCCTTATACCTTTATTTTTTCAGAGCTTGACAATCATTTTCTTTGACAGAGAAAATACAAGTAAAATCAGCATTAGATGTGTATTCTGTAGTTGTCTCATCACACTATACGATATGCAAGATCTTCATCTCTCTTATAGCTCTTAATATTTAGAATCAAAGCCTCCCAATAAAAATAAAAATAAAACTTCTTTTGTTATGAAACTTCAGTGTATTATGAGCTGTAGATTTCCTGAATCTCCCCTATCGAATCTATGCAGCATTTTTTAAAATACTTTCCTTTGTTGCACGTTCCCTTTGTTGCCTCCAACCTCCTTGTCCTCTCGCATCTGAATTTCATTGGGTATTGATGTCTTTGAGTCCATCTCTAACTTCTTCTTTCAGATGACTAGGTTTTAGGTTGCAGTCTGATTATGAGCATCTCTTACTCCTTTGAAACAAAATCCCACTTTATGCTCCTAACTGTGAAAATCACAAGTATGTATGTTAATTATTTTGTTTTGGGGCTATACTTAGCTTTGTTCAGGGATTACTTCTGGCTCTGTGCTCAGAGATAACTCCTGGAGGAGTTTGGGGAATCGTATGGGGTGCTTGAAATCTAATCCAGCTTAGTTTCATGTAAAGCAAGTGCCCTACCCAGTGTACTAACTCTGTCCCAAGAATGTTTTTCATATGACCTATTTATTGTTTTTGTTTCTGGGGGATCACATCCAGAAATTATCTGGGTTTACTCCTGGCTCTGAACTCAGGGATCACTCCTGGGTGAAGCTGGGGACCATATGTGATGCTGGGGTTCGAACTCTGGCCGGCTGCATGGAAGGCAAGCACTCTACTTAAGCTCTGTCTATGACTTATTTATTTTCAACATTAACAAATGGAATCCCTACTTAAAAGTTTACAAGCATAAGGAAAGTACATTATGGCAGAGACTGCTGACTCTCTCAGTTTTTCTTCTCTCTTACTTGAGACACTTAAATGTTGGCTGGGCTGCTCAGAATAAACACTACATTTCCTCATGACCCTGACACATGGGTGTGGCTGAGTGCCTGACTTTCAGTCAGTGGAATGTGAGTAGAATGTATGCATTTCACTAGGGTATTTTGATGGCCTTAAAGCAATCACTTGACATTCTTTTTATTTTATTTTTTTAACCACACGTGGTGGTGCTCAGGGCTTAATTCTGGCTCTGTGTTCAGGGATTGCTCCTGGCTAGCTTGGGGTACCATAGGAGATACTGGAGATTGAACCCACATCAGCCGCATGCAAGGCAAGTACCCTACCATCTATACTATTGTTCTGGCCCCTCACTTGGCATTTTTATATCAGCAAAGAACAGGCTGTCATTAAGGAAGCAGACCAGACAGGGCCAACACTCCATATCACACTCTTCACCAAAGCATCAAGAGCCCAGGTTAGAGGCACTTTCAGCTTTGGACTGTATCTCAAAGATAATGTGAGAATGTGTTTTTAGATTAATATAAGACACTGCCATTTTGAGTTTCTTTGTTACAGAAACTTCACCTGTTCTCTAAGTAAAAATATTAGTAGGGCCAGAGAAATAGTACAGGGGGTACATGTGCAACGGGCTGACCCCAGTTCTGTTCTCAGAACCTTATATGTTTCCCGTTCCCCAGCACCAATAGAAGTGATTCTTGAGCATTGTGGGTATGGCATAAAAGCCAAAAAATAAAATAAGATGAAAATAATACCAAGTGATTTCGAGTCAGCAAAAGTCAGAAAAAGAGAGGGTGAAAATCCCCCAGTGAAGTGCATTCATTTTACTCACAAAAAGTTAGGTACTCTTTCCCCAATTAAAATAAAAACGGTAAGATGCTTATCTTTCATGCAACTGGCCAAGGTTCGATCCCTGGCACTATATATGGTCCCCTGAACATTTCCAGGAGTGATCTAGAAGTCAGTCCGGGGCAGAGCTGAGTGTTACACAGATCCCTCTCTCCTCAAAACACCCCCCCAACCCCCATAAATAATTGCTTACTCTATAGGATAGATAAGTTGTGCTAAGCAAGATGTATATGTTTTGTGCATGTTCATTTATTTAATCTTCACAACTGCACCTATTAGGTAGATAGACACTCTATACAACTATTACCCTCATTTTTTTTTTGTTTTGGGGCTATATCTAGTGATCTTCAGGGTTTACTCCTGGCACTGGACTCAGTAATCACTTCTGGATGCTCTCAGTGGGCCATAGGGGAATGCCAGGAATGAACCTGGGTCAGCTGTGTGCAAGACAAGAGCCCAACCTGCTGTACTATCTCTCCAGCCCCTATTATCCTCATTTTGAAAGAAAGATATATGCCAAAAGGTTGGTGAGTTGCCCAAGATTATACAGGATCATGAGTAGCTGAGATAGGATATGATACAGTATGTCTGACTCTGGAGAATTTACCTCTCAAAGTCAGACTCATGGCTATAGAGATGCCTGAGGCAGAGGTAGGGACTGACAGATTGATTTATCAAGACAGTATATTAGAGTTCTATGACTAAAAGTTATGATAAAAGAGGAAAACAAATTGCAAAAGATGGAAAATAGCTGTATAGTCTTACTGGGAAAAGCTGCAAATAATAAAGGTGGGGAAAATCCTATTAGAAAGAAAGTATACTGCGTTGGAGAGATAGTACGTGTTAAGGTATTTACTAATCTTACATGTGAACCCATGCCTGCTTGATTCCTACCACTGCATATGATTCCCTGAGTACTACCATGGGTCACTCCTGATCACAGAACCAGGAATAGCTTCTGAGTATTTGAGTGTGGCCCAACCTATCCCATTTCCAAAATTTCCAAAAAATATATTTATCTTGCAAAAAAGAGGTGGAATAGATTAGAGATAATGTACTGGGATTATTTCACAATCATGGTTGCCATGGTTGCTGTCAGTTATTTTGTGGAGGGCTTGCTGAAGGAAGGGTGGATGACTGCCAGCAGGCTTCCCAGGGCTCCAGCCTCTGTGTTAGAGGAGTTGTTGCCAGGCTAAAGGTACAATGTGGCAGAAGGTCTATGATTCTTACAATGGTACAGAAACTGTACAAGACAGATAACAATACAGGACTTAACATATTAAAGTCTGAGTTTTTTAACAGGAAATTTGGAGAATCTGCTATAGATAAAGATTCAGTTTTTATAATAACCAGTTCTGTATGTCCATTAAAAATAGAGAAAATGCACAAGTATAAAGTAAAAGCCCTCTGTACCATTCATTCCACAGATATTGTTTCAACAATTTGTCATCTTTCTTGCCAGATTGTTAACAAAAAAAGGATCCCAAGTGGACCCTAAGCTTTTTCCCATTTCAAGGAGTCAATAAATCTTTGCAAGCCAATAGAAAAAGCTCTAATTTGGGAGTGGGGTGGTGGTTTGGGACACAAGCGGAGGTATTTAGGGTTCTTCCAGGCTTTACTCTGAGCTCAGTGATTATTTATGGCCATGCTGTGGGGACCCAACTAAGGTAATGAGCATAAAAGGGGGGTGCTTTAAACCCTATGCTGTCCTGATCCATAATTTTAAAGTTGTAAAGTGTGGGGATTTGGGGTTGTTAGACTGTCGCTTCACACAGACACTCCAGACCCAGAAAGACAGGGATAGATGGTTTATTAAAGCTCAGCGCTGAGTAGCCCCGAGTCTTAACTCACCATTCATTATACACCGTACAAGCTCACATTCTTACATTTTAAACCTTTATCTTACTCAAAGCCAATGTACAGAAGCAGAGGTGGCAGTTAGGAACAATGTTATGCTTGGGTTCATCATCAACTCATCAATTCATCTTGCCCGCTATGCGATGGGTGGATAGGGTTGATTCATGGAAAACTCCAACACACTAAAGGCTAAATAGGAGATTGAACAATGTAAAATATAGTTAAAAGTAAAAACAAAGCAAAACAAAACAAAACATGGCTCCTTTCATTTTCAGGTTGATTCTCTAAGAATGTCTTAGATGGCATTGTATTTGGAATTAAGCTCTCTCCTAGCTCATCTTCTAGAACTCCGATGTTTTTATCGAGGTTGTTCTCCAGATTGTCTTTGTTCGCGGACTTCAAGGCCATTTTAAATGTGGTATTAACCATTTCCGATGGTACTCTGACCAACAAAACCGAGAAAAAGGGAACAGCGGAAGAGTTGAGTGCAAAAACCACACGTTTGGCATCACCCCTGGCCCCTCCCACCTAGCCGGCCCGCACGGGCCGCGTCCCGCGCTCTGGGAAACGTGCACCATTCGACGTTCCCAGACCCCGCCCACCGGAACTTGCGTATTTGCCTCTCCCTGCCGGGTTCCGAGCCGCCCACCCCCCTAAGCCCGCCCCGGGTACCGCCTCTAGCCCCGCCCCCTACGTTCTAACTCCGCCTCCCGTCTCAAGGTGCACCACTAGGGAGCGGCGCCTGCGCCCCGTGGCTCCGCCCACTCCGCCCTGGACGCCAACGCCATTCGTCGTCGTGCGCTGGCTCCTCCCCCTCTGGCTGGGCGGGTCCCGAGCGTCCGCGGTAGGCGGGGCCCGAGCGTCCGCGTTCCTTGGCCCGCGCCCAGCCGTCATGGAAGGGGATGCCCCGGCCGCCCCTGCTGTCCGCTACCAGCCGGCCAGCCCCCCGCGGGACGCCTGCGTCTACAACAGCTGTTACTGGTGAGCGCACGCGGGCGCCCCGCAGGCGTCTCCCGCCGCGCGGAGCTGCTGCGCGCGAGCAGGGCCCCGCCTCTCGCCGGCCCCTCCCCGGGGGGCGTCTGGGCCCTGAGTGGCGGGTTTTGCGGTTTGCCGGGGCGCGGGGATTGGGGTTCGAGGGTGGGTGGTGGATGGGCGTTGCAACGGTCTTCTGGGCACTCGAGCTGCGCCGTTGGCAGGGGCCAGATGCGTCGGTCCTGCTGGCCTCGTCGGTGGTGCTCCATCGTGAGCTCCTCCAGCCTGGACCTTTTTCCTCGGACCGTGGTGTTGGAGAAGGCAGGTGTGGAGCCCAGAGAGCCTTTGGGAATGACTCAGCCAAGAAGCTTACTCGGGTTCGCGTGGATGTGAAAGGCAGTTTTTTTTTTTTTAAGTTTGGAAGAGAATTGAGGCTTAGAGATTTCACAGTTATTTCCCCAAGATCACCCAGCTAGTAGTGATCCAGAAATCCCCACCGAAGGAACTCTTATTCCTTGAAAATGGTTCCATCTAATTTTCTTTTGTTTTTAATTTATTCCTAATTTTCTTTTGTTTCTTTTGCACTGGGCCAAGTGATTTGAGTGGTTGGTTCATGGAAACGAATGCATTCGAGACCCACGGGGACCCTCGAGCTTGTTTATTGTCCGCATTTCATTTTATTTTCATTTTAAAAGAAGAGGATACAGAAGTATGGGACGGTGGGAGGCAGCAAACAGGTGTAAAATGGTTGGCATTCTTCTGACATTTATTCCCACTTCTCGGTAGTCAGACCATGGTTCTTACCTTGGTTCTCATTCCCGCATCTGCCCTTCCCCTGCCCCCTTCTCAGGGGAAATGGTGTGTCTTCCCCGTTACTGCCAAACCCTGGCACCACCAGCCTTAGGGCCATCAAAAACTCCCTTTCCCTTTTTAGCTGATCACCATACTCAGGCTGATGGGAATTTAATGTTGACTGCAGGTCAACAGGTCATGACTGGTAAGGTCAGGCCCCTACTCCTCAGAGCTGCTATACCTTGCCAAATGGGGCCCTGTTATTCACATTATTCCCGATGAGAGGACAGCTTGCTCCGTTATTCCCATTGTCTTCATTTCATGATGAAAGGACAGCTCCTGTGCTGAGCTCACACCTTTAGAAAGTTGGGGCTCCGACCTGGGGCCTTCCGCCTAAGGGGGCTCTCAGCTGCTAAATAGTGCTCATCACTGTAACTTTGCCCTGTTTCTCAGTTGAGTTCTGTTCTCTTACAGTGCACTCCTGGTGTAATTGACTCACTACTGTGTGTTTGGCACTTGGTGTGCGAGATGCATAGTTCTAGGCACTAGGGATAGAGCAGTGAATCAAGGTAGCACAGATTCCTTGGTTAAACACCTGTGGTCTTAGGCTTTGCTGGCAGAAATAAAGGCAGGGGAGTGGCTCAAGAGGTAGACCATATGTCTGGTCTGTGTGAGGTCAGGAGTTTCGGCCCAGAACCCTACTAGGTAAGGCTGGTGGCCTCAGGGCACTACGATTAAAAATAAAAACAAAACCCACCAAAAGACTGGGGCCAGTGAGAAGACTGATGTGTGTGCCTCGAGTGTGTGCTTTTGCATGTGGGAAGCTTGGTGTTAGACCCCAGGACTGCTGATTGTGACCCCTGAGCACATGGTGCTCACCGATCTCGCAAAAAAAGAAAAAAAAAAGCAAACCATGGATGAGCAGTTTTATATGCTGTGGGAAAAAAGCAAGGTAAGAGATGGTGATGTATATTGGTTTATTTAATAAAACTGCTCATCTGACCATACTTTGTCTTAGGATATTTAAGGAACATGGCAAGGTGGTACTTGAAGAGAGATGTGAACGAAAGCGGGTAGGGACTTGGTAGATACTTGAGGAGCATCACTGCTGGCAGGAGGAACAAGAGCAGAGACCCTGAGAAGGGAACGCCATATCCTCACGGGCTGGCAGGATGCTGGGTGCATTCGGAATGGAGCAGTGCAGTGGGCAGATGGTGGGACATCTCTTGCATTACTGTGTGTCATGGCACTTCAGCCCAAGACCAGCCTCCCCTTTGCTTTCTCAGTCCTGGGACTCAGCCCAGCTCTTGCTACACCAGCAGGTCTGCAGCCTTTCTGCCTTCACACTGTCCAGAGCTGTTGTAAATGTGTATGTGCTAGAGTGTCACCTGGGAGCTTGTAAAAGGAGCTAATCTGGGTTGGAGTGGCAGAGTCTGAGGATAGTTTGCTGACCACATTTCAAAGGATAGGGTCATGGAGAGGCGGGGGGCAGGGGGCAGAGATTGTACAGCAGGTAGGGCGCTCACCCTGTACACAGCTGACCTGGGTTCAGTCCCTGGCATCCCACATTGTCCCCTGAACCCCACTAGGACTAATCGCTGAGCATAGAGCCAGGAGAGAACCCTGAGCGCAGAAAAATAAAGCAAATCACAAAAAAGCTGGGGCTAGAGCAATAGTGCCTTGCACATGGCTCACACCGGTTCGATCCTTGGCATCCCATGTGGTCCCTGGAGCACCTCCAGGAGTAATTCTTGAGTGCAGAGCCAGGAGTAACCCTGAGCTTGCTGGGGTGTGACCCAAAGACCAAAAAAAAAAAAAAAAGAAGAAGAAAACACCAACCCCTGGCCTCAGTAACTCCCAAACAAAGAATATGTTCATAGACAGTAAAGTGAATAACTTAAGTATGTCAAGGCTTCCAGGATTTGGTAACTATATTTCACATTATTTAAAAAATTTTTGAGATTGGGGGTGGGGGGGATGGGGGTGGGGTGGGCACCTTGTCCTTTCTGCCTTCCTGCTTTTGTCCCTGCAGGGTCTCTGAACCAGAAATGCATGCCGCCTCTCCGCTTCTCTTAGCTTCTAGCAGACAGTTTTGGCCTTTTGGGACCCAGAGTCACGCAAGCACTGGCAGCCTCTGTCTGTGCCGCATGGTGTATGCAGAACATTGCTGATCCCATTGCAGTGTCTTGTATTTTTCAGGCTTTTGTTGTGCTCCTGCTGTGTGCCTGGGGTCCTCTCCTCTGTTTTTCTCTGGCTTCAGCCCTGTTATCTGTAGGCTTTGCCCCCTCCCAGCTGTCAGGCTGCTTTGTTAACTTTTCTGCTACTGAAACCATCACCTGATGTATTGGGATTCCCCCCCCCCCCCCGCCCCCACATCAGTTGGAACTTTTTTTTTCCCCCATTCGTCCCTGCCTCCCCACCCCAAACACCTTTTGGTTAAATTTTATTTTAAAATGGGTGCCAGGATCTACCAAATTCATGGCTCTTCTTTCCTCTCAGTGAGTCCCTGCATTTCTGAAGTATGAAACCTTCATTTTTTTTTTTTTATTCAAGTTTCTTGAGACTTCCTCCAGAGTGTTTATAAAACTTCTGAGGGGCTGGAGTGATAGCACAGCAGGTAGGGCATTTGCTTTGCACGTGGCCGACCTGGGTTTGATTCCCAGTATCCCATGTGGTCCCCTGAGCACCACCAGGAGTAATTCCTGAGTGCCTGAGTGCAGAGCCAGGAGTTAACCCCATGTGCATTGCCGGGTGTGACCCAAAAAGTAAAAAAAAAAAAAACAACAAAAAACCTCCTGGAAAATACTGTTTGGAAGACACAGCCATATTAATAACTTGTGCTTCAGTTGGTCTTATCTCAGTAACATTCACATATTTTTAAAAATTGGTTCAGACTGGACAGGGAGGAAGGGCTTAAGACACTTGCCTTGCTGGTGGCTGACTCTGGTTCAATAGCATCACTGATACAGTTCCCTGAGCATCACCAGGAGTGATTCCAGAACACAGAACTATGTATGAGTAGAACCCTGAGCACCACAGACTGTGTCCCAACCCCCATGCACAATAAAAATTAGGTTCTGGGAAACTATGACATTGAGAACTGAATCCTTGAATAACATTGTTTCAAAGACAGTCAGCACTTTTTTTCTTTTTTTAAAATTTAGTTCCTTCTCTGGGCTGGAGCGATAGCACAGCGATAGGGCGTTTGCCTTGCATGCAGCCAACATGGCCGACCCGAGTTCGATTCCTCTGCCCCTCTTGGAGAGCCTGGCAAGCTACCGAGACTATCTCGCCCGTGATATATTGGATATGCCAAACACAGTAACAACAACGTCTCCAATGGAGACGTTACTGGGCCCGCTCGAGCAAATCGATGAACAACTGGAGGACAGTGACAGTGACAGTTCCTTCTCTATTTTGTGTGTGTGTGTGTGTGTGTGTGTGTGTGTGTAGTGCTTAGGGGCTACCTCAGCTTTTCACTTGGGATTCCCTCCCTGCAGTGCTGGGTGTGGGGGAGGTTGGGAGGTAGTGCTGAGGATTGAACCTGCATTTGAAGCAAAATCACATCCCATTGAACGAACTCTCTAGCTCTGGATTTTTCCCTCTGTCCCTGAACCAATGTTTATCGTGAAACTGTTAAAGTTGTTACTCAAGAACATTCTGTATACTTGAGCCACATTTGTATTGAGTCTACCAGCAGTATATGTGGTTGGCAAGGATTCCCCACTGCTTTCTAGAACACTCTGCCCTTCCCTGGGATGGAGGGAGAGGGAGACAGACTAGGAGAAACTCTGACTTGTACCTCCTCCCGTAACCGGCAGAGTGGACAGCTCTTCTCTCCATGCTTTCTCTCGGCATCTTTTATGGCTTCTGTGATGCTGCCTTATGGTTCTGCTTGTCTCTCCTCATCATCTGCGCACTCCAATTTATCATTGCATTCTTGGAGCACTTAGCACAATGCAAGTGTAAGCTCGAAAATGATGATGGTAAACTTCCCAGAGCTTCTAATGAGACATACGTCCACTTGACAAATATGGTAAACTTTTCAGAGGTCCTAATGAGATATTTGTTACACAAATGTCTTAGAACTCGGTCTCAGACACCGAGATAAGCAAAAAAAAATTCACCAAAAAACTGTATTTTACTGAAGAAATGAACTTGTTACTATATAATACCTAGCACTGAAGCAGTAAGTACCTAACTTCTGTTGTAATCTCTTAAGACCACTTTTTTTTTTTCCCTTGTAGGATTTCTTAAGCATTTTAGAGGAAAGTACAATTCTCGGGAAAAGCTACTCCCTCCAGCGTAGTTAAGCATTGAGACCAGATAGAGGCTAGCAGGACTGTTTCATAGAGTATGTGTTTCTGTGTTAGTTCAAGACAGGCCTTGAAGCTGTGGAGCCTTCATTTTCATGTAGCATGGACAATAGATGGTTGAGAATTAGGTTTCAGTAGAGTGAGTCATTTGCGTATGAGGGAGGGAGGGAAAGAGAGGGGGAAGAGGTAGGTAAACAGAGTATGGATGTAGCTTCTTTTGAGCAAAGGTGTAATTAGCTTATTAGACAATGACAAAAAAGATGGGGAGATAGTATAGGGGCTAGGCCATAGGCCTGCATACTTAGTCTTCAGCATGACAGGTCCCACTGACCCCAACATTTCCTGGTGTGACAGCCCAGGACCAGGAGGCCCTAGAGTACCACTCGATGTGACCTCGGAGGCCCCCAGAACTACTGAGGTAGTCCCTGGAGTCGTGTCTGCATCTCCCCTCCCCTCAACCACTGTCTGGGAGCTCCTCAACCCCCAAAATGAAAGGCAGGTGCCCAAAGGTTGAGCTGTGAGTCCTGCCAGCAGTGATGAGAGGTAAGGGGAGCACGCCTGTATCCCAGCAGTTTGGTTCTTCGCTGTGGACATGATTTTACTTAGGCAGTTCTGACTTCAGCTTCATGTTGCAAAGATCAGTTCATATAGAAAAGTTGAAGTAGAGAAAGATGGGTTTTAGTTCAGGATGAGAAAATCTTTCTCCATACCGGAGGAGCTTGGGAAAATTCTATTTGCATGGTGGTTCCATTCATAATTCCAACAAGACTTGCTGGACCTGTCATGTAAATACCCTGGTCCTTTATAGCCAGGAGTAGTAGTTCTCCCAAACTCTCTCTACTCCATTTGTAAGGGGAGCTGGAAACCAGTGTTAAGATCTGTGCATTGTTTATGTCCTTTTTACATGTGAGGTAAGAAAAAACAGACATTCAGGGAGGTCAGCATGTTCCAAGCTGTTTACCTTGTTAGTGGCTGAGTTAGAAATCCTGTGGCATCTTAGGACTCGGGGCCCCGAGCTTGTAGAGTATTGATGTATTGATGAGGCAGTTTTCTGATTACAAAACATCCCTATAGGTAAGCTTTGGGTGAGGTAAAAAGCTCTTCGTCTGGAGAGGGGCCTCAGGCATTATAGGTAGGTCAGCAGCCTGCTGGCATGTTTCTCAGGAAGGTCAGACGCTGGCTAATTGTTGGGTCAGATAGTACTTGGCGTCTTTTAGTATTGCCATCATTTTGTTGCAGTTGGAAAATCCCAGGGTGTTCTTACTTACCTGCGTTGATCAAACAATTATCTTGTTTCAGTGAGGAGAATATCTGGAAGCTCTGTGAATACATCAAAAACCATGACCAGTATCCTTTAGAAGAGTGTTATGCTGTCTTCATATCGAATGACAGGAAGATGGTAAGTTGGTGAGTGATTAGCAGAAAGGAAACGAGAAAGTTAGACATTCGGGCAGAGTCTGGCCTGGGATAGGACAGTTCTATCTAGTATGTGCTTTGGGGTCCAGGAAGTAGCCAAGAGGAAGACCACATGCCTTGTCTGTGTGCGGCCCTGGGGTTGATCCCTGGAAGCACGTGCACCCTCCTGCCTTGCACAGCCTGGCTGCCTACTCCTCTGCACACACCTCCCAACACCCACAACAACAGAAAGGAAGAAACTTTATAAAAATACAACAGAGTTTTGAAAGTCTGGAACTTGAAAGTTTTATTTTTGTTTGTTTTTTCTTTTTTTGGGTCATACCCAGCAATGCTCAGGGGCTACTCCTGGCTCTGCACTCAGGAATTACTCCTGGCCATGCTTGGGGGACCATATGGGATGCTGGGAATCGAACCCGGGTTGGCGGCATGCAAAGCAAATACCCTCCCCACTGTACTATCACTCCGGCCCCTGGAACTTGAAAGTTCTGAATGAGACTGTTTTCATTATTTGAAGAGTGTTTTCTTGGGCCTGGGAGATAGCCTAGTGGGTGAGGCACTTGCTTAGCATGTGGTTCGATTCCTGGCACTACTTATGACCCTCTATGCTGCCAGGAATGATTCCGGAGCCTCTCTGGAGTGCAATGCTGAGTACTGCTGCATATTGTCCCAAAAAAAAGCAAAATGAAACAAAAAAAGAGTCCCTTTTTTAGGTAAGGAAATACTTGATGATGTGTTTATGCAGATTAAGATCCTTTTGAGATATAAAGTTAGAGCTTTCAAAATTAGATTGGACTAAAATTTCATAAAATTGCTTAGAGCCAAGTGAGCTCATTTTGCTTTGAAGTCAAGATTGCTTTGTCTTGCATCTTGAAGTAGACTACTGTAAATTTATGTCAAGTATTAGAGAAAGTAAGCCCTTCCTATTTTGCAACACTCTTTTGCAAGCCATCATCTCATTTGATCCTAATGGAAATCCTGTAAAGTAGACAAGGTGCAGACAACTGTCTCTGTTTTATAGACAAGGAAAGAGAGGCTCAGGGGAATCCCATGAATAATTAAGTGGGAAAGCCAGACGTGAATCTGCCAGGCCTTCTGACTTCTAGTTTAGGTCTATTTCTGCTCTCAGAAGAGAATCACATAATTAATTCTGTTCTTTGATTGCGAAGGGTACTTGGATGGATTTCAGTTCTTTGTTATTTGCTCTTTTGACTTAGTTTGTTGCTTGCTTAGGAAAAGAAAGAAAAATATCTATATATTATGGGGGTCACAACTAGTGGTGCTCAGGCTTGGCAGTGCTGGGGCCCCCTGTAGTGTCAGGAGCCTTTGAGTGCTTGGAGGGCCTCAAACCCAGGACTCCACATGTGCAAGGCATGCTCTGTCTTTAAAAACACATTTCCGAGACCAGAAATGTTACTATTTTTTTTTTAAACGTGCATGGTTCTTTAAGGAGTTTCACAGTGGCTTATGAACTCTCTTGTATTTTGTAGATACCGATCTGGAAACAGCAGGCAAGACCCGGAGACGGTCCTGTGATCTGGGTGAGATGGTCAATTGGAGAGCTTCCTATATGGGGCGACTAGTCACCACTGAGTGGCCTTTATGTTTTGGTAAAGTAGAAATGATAGACAGTAGAGGAAGGTCCTGATCCTTAAGAAGTTGACTTTGCGGCCAGAGTGAAGGTACAGTGGGTAGGGTACTTGTCTTACATGTGTTCCCCCCAGGTTGGATTCTCGGCATCTTATATTGTTCTCTACGCCTGCCAGGAGTAAGCCCTGAGCACCCCTGGATGTGCTCCTGCTTGTTTCCTCCCCACCCCCCCCCAAAAAAAATGTTGGTCTTTTGAAGATACCTCTTCTTTGGTTTAAGGTAGTGGTGCGTGTCAGACATATTTTCTTTGGAAATTAGTATAGAGATGACCCATGTAGCAGATTCTTTTTTTTTGGTGGCTGGCAGATATACTTTGATTTCCTAGACTTTTATCCATTTAACAGCAGAAGGAAATTTTCCAAAGCTACACATTACTATTACCTGAGTGGGAATGGCCGAAGAGATTGTCCAGGGGTTAAGGTGCCTTCCATGCAGGCAGCCAACCTTGGTTCAATCCCTGGTACTCTACTTCATTGGATAGTCCCCCGAGTATTACTGGGTATGGCCTGAAACATTTCCCCTTAGTCACCCCTGCCGCCATCTCCTCCCCCCCACCAAAAAAAAAAAAAAATATATATATATATATATATATATATATATATATATAACTAGGAATATGTAGGTGGGAATGTTGCTCAGTGGTATAACATATGATATGCATGTATAAGGTCCTTGGTTTAATTCCGGTATGAAACAAAGGCAGTGACCTGAAGTAAAATAACAGTTTCTGGGTTGGAGAGATAGTACAGGGGTTATAATTGCTTACACATGGCTGATCTGGTCTGATCCCTGGCATCACATTTGAGTCTCCTGAGCATCAACAGGAGGGTGACCCAAAAGGCAAAATAAAACAAAAAAGCCCTGAAAACATACCATTTGAATTTGCTTATTTGTTTTAGTATGTAGTTTTGGTGGCCAGGCAGAAAAGAGACGGAAGCTCCTGGGCTTCCCTGAGCTCACATCCTTCTTCCTCTACAGGAATTGGCCTGCTGCTTTTAGATAAACCCAGCTGTTTGGGTTTTCCTCTTATTTTTTTATTTGTGGGCCAGACCCAGCAGTGCTTAGTGACTCGATGCTCAGGGGTCACAGCCTGGCAGCACTCTGGGAACCAACCAAGTGGTGCTTGGGACCGTACCCAGGGCTACATCTCCCTAGCCCCAAATCCTGCAGTGTTGGGGGTGGGGTGCAGGCTCTGTGTCAGACAGAGTGGGCTTCCATCTCGGGCCTCCTGCTGGTGAGCCATGCCACATCCATGTTCTGCATTGTCCGCCTCTTGTCAGTGGCTGCCATGTCTGTCAGATAAAGCACTGGAAGAATTTTCTGAGCATCTGGCTTAGCATCCACTACCAGTGTTCAAGAAGTGTTAGCTGTCACTGTTAGGTGCCCGCTGTCCTTCTGCCTGAGAAGTTCGCCCCAGCGCTGCACTGCTTGCCCAATTTCAAGTTCATGATTCAGCTTTCTGTCTTGGGGAAACTTGCAGGGAAAGGACACGGGGCCACGTCCCTGTTAAACAGTGTCTCCTGGCAGCTCCGGTTGGGGAATCCTGTTGGAAGAAGTCTTCATGCCCTCTGTCACAGTGTCCTTGTCCACTATTGAAGGACAACAAACACGGTGGGCCTTGCAGAGTCGGGGACACACCATGCCCCATGGCATAGTTGGCTTTCTTGGTGGGCGTACCTCCTAGCCTCAGCAGGGTCTCCTGACATTTGGGCGGGCGCTGGCCCTGGCTCAGAGCAAAGGTGCTGCTGAGATCTGTTTTCCTTGACAACCCCCATGTCTGGGGTCAGCAGGTGGTTCTGTGTTGGGGCCTGCTCCTGTTCATCCGCCCTCTGGTGGGGAAGGGTAGGAACGGAACAAATAGAAAGTTGTGCTGTTCCTGCTTCTGTCCTTTGATGATCCACTTTCTTTCTGCACGGCTCCGGCTCAGGCAGGATTCGGCCCTGGCCTCCCTCCTGGGGTGCAGCTTGCCCTGTTGCTGTCTCCGAGCGCTCTGACTTTAGAGACTTGGCTTTCGAACAGGCCAAGCACTTCCATAGCAAGTCTCATTCATTCTCCCAGTAACACGAGGCGGTAGGTACTAGCGCTCACTCCATTTTGGTGCAGAGGAAACTGAGGCTGGGAAGTGAAGAGGCTAAGGTTTGAATCCGGTGACCCTCCTGCACAGTGCTCCCACTGCCCTCCCAATTCTCCTCTCCCAGCTGCAAGGGATTCTGCAGAAGTGAGGCCCCTCCCTTCCCTTCCTGGGGAAGACCCTGAGGGTGAGAACTTGGCTTTGTCTTCTCTGTATATCTCAGCAGTGTACTTTCCCACAACTAATAGCATAGACACTTTAAAAAAAACTGGACTGTTTGCAGTAGATGTCAAGAGGGAAATTGCTTTTGGACAAGGTCAGAGATAGCTTCTGGCAGAAGATCAAAAAAAGGGCTGGACTGGGGCTGGGGAGGAAGAAAGCATTTCAGCGGGAGTTTGGATGGTGGAGGAGGGGGCCCGTGGGTGGAGAAGGTGGCTGAGGAGAAGTGGAGCCGAATGAAGCCAAACAGGGGAAGGAAATTGTGGGCCCATAGGAGACGCGCAGCTCTTAGTTTATCTGAAGGGGAGGATGCATTAAGGAGAGGACAGGGAATTGGCATCCATTTCGGATGCTCCTTCGGCATCCCTTAGAAGGAGCCGGAGTTGGAGGAAGCATGTGAGGCTCTGTTGGTATATCATGGCTAGGCTCGGCTCTCCTGCCTTGCCAGGTAAAACGTTGCTGGAGAAAGTGCCCTGTAAGCTCTCGGGCCTAGGCACGGAAGCAGAGGGGATTGCTGAGGTTGTTAGAAACTCATCTCCAAATGCTGTTCTCTGCCACAAGAAGGTTGTTCTGAGGAACTCAAAGGAACTTGGAGCTTCCTGACGTCCTTTCCCGGCTGCAGCTGCTGTTGGCCAGTGTCCCAGGACTGCGAGGGTGTGACTGTCCACGTGGCGCTGTGACTGCCCACGTGGCGCTGTGACTGCCCAGCGAGTCTTTCAGTCTCCCCTCGAATGCCGCAGGCTAGATCTTGCTTGATTGATTCTGGTTTCTGAGCCTCCCTGCAAGTGCTGGGGATCTGTTGTCCAGGCAAGGTGTTGGGGGCTAATATCGCTCCCCAGAAGTGCTAAGGGGACCATTTGGTGCCTGGGATGGAACCTGGGCCTCCTGTATGCCAAAGCATGTGCTCCAGCTCTCTGAACCCTGGGTTGATTGTTTCTGAAATACATTTTACTTTTTGAAATTCCAAGCGGTATAAAATAGAGGCCAGAGGGATAGTCCAGTGGGCAGGGCACCTGTCTGGCATGCCACCGACCTGGGTTGGTCCCTGGCATCCTGTTTGGACTCCGTGCATCTCCAGGAATGAACCCTGAGCATAAAGCCAGGAGTAACCCCTGAGTGTTGCCAGTTGTGACCCCAAAACAAAAAGGAGTAAAGAAATTAATGTTCTTCTCTTCAAGCAGTCCCCTTTGTTCATAGTTTAGATATTAGCCTTGTAGGTATTTTTTCTCTGCCTTCATCTGAATATATAGGTACTTTTAATTGCATGCGTATATATGAACGCTTTGTTTTTATTTTTTGGTTGTTGTGCCACGTCAGGCTATGCTCAGGGCTTTACTCCTGACTCTTCGTCCGGGGATCACTTCAGGGGGCTGTATGTGAGATCAAACCCAGGTTGACTGCAACAAGGCAAACTTCTGACCTGCTGTACTATTTCTCTGGCCCCTATATTAAATAACTGTAATTAAATAAAAAATAAATTGTGTTTGGGGGCTTCTAGGCCACACCCAGCAGTGCTTGGGCTATTTCCAGCTCTTCCCAAGAGATGACTTGGGACAGTACCACGTGGTATTAGGGGTCAAACCCTTTTGGCTGAATGCAAGACAAGTGCCTTACCTTCTGTACTATTTTTCCATACCCATATATGATAGCTTTTAACATACTTTATCAGTTTTAGGTCACACCTAGAGGTGTCATGGTCTACTCTTGGCTTGATGCTAGGTGGTCAGGCTTGGTCGTGCTTGGTATCTGTGGGGCTGAAGTTGGAACTCGGGCCTCCTGCATGGAAAGCACTTGTGCAAGCCCTTGAGTTCTCTCTCCTGCCCACACTTTGCTTTGTATTATTTATTTAACCTGGGGGCCACACTGGTGGTGCTCAGGGATCACTCCTGGCAAGCCCAGTGACCATATATGGTGCCACTGAGATTGGACCTGGGTCAGCTGTGTGCAAGACAAGCATCCCACCTGCTATGCTATTTCTCTGTCCCCTCAGATAGCTTTTTAAAAATAATACATCCTTGGCTTCCTACTGCTTACCATAGACTCTGGTCTGTTCTTTATACTGGCTCTGAGAGCGGAACCACCGTAAACCCATCCATATACACCTTGGCCCAGAGTCAGAGTCAATATGGATAACAGGGGGACATGGAAAAATAATATATACATATATATACATACTCTGAAATTTGGGTTTTTGTACAACCATATTTCCTCATTTTCCACATAATTTACCTAATTATATTAGCAGTAGCATACTAATTTTTTTGCAATTTTTATATATTTTATTTTCATAAAAGTAGTTCACAGTAATTCATTACAGATAATATTCAAACACCAATCCCACCACTGAGCACCTTCCCACCATAATAAGAGAGAAGTGTGTGAAGGTTGTTGTATTTCATTCTGGAGCCATTTAAGCCCATATGTAAGAGAACAAGCAAGTATGTTAAAACCAAACAGATGTGTGAGTAGCATACTAGTCTCTTGCAGTGGTTTTCTATCCTTGGTTTGCAGGTCTAAGTAAGTAGATTGAAAACCGCTATTCATCATATGCCTGCATTGGGGTTTAGTAGCAGTCCTTGATGTGAATCTTGGGTTTGGTTCTGATTTTTTTACTATTATAAAAGTACATTACAGAAATTGTTATCTTTGTAAAAATGTATTTATCTGCATATGGCCATTTTCCCTCTAGACTCAGAAGAAAACTTTCTGAATCAAGGATATAAGTGTAGTGTTTACAAACATTTCTGTTTAACCATTTCCTGTTCCTAGACTCTAGACTGCTTTCAGGGGTTTATGTTTATTTACTGTAAACGTCAAATTTACTGTTTAATACAGTAAGGTTGTCTGATGTGTGTTTTTCTTTTAATGTTTTTAAACTGGGCTGTGGGGTGGTATGGGGAGAAGGTGGGATAGAGTTGTGCCTTTGGGATTTTGTTTCAGTTTCATGGTGCCAGGGATGGAGCCCAGGCCTCTTATGTGTCCTTGCTCCCTGTGCTCCATCCTGGCCTTGAGTCTCTGTGCTGGTGCTAGGGTTGCTTATTACTGGACCCTCGGAATTGCTGTTGTAAAGGAAGTGGGCTCACACACATGTCTTCTGCCCTAGGATTACCATGTTGTCTTGCTTCATGTCTCGAGTGGAGGACAGAGCTTCATCTATGATCTTGACACGGTCCTGCCTTTTCCCTGCCCCTTTGACATGTACGTGGAAGATGCCTTTAAATCTGACGAGGACATCCATCCACAGTTTAGAAGGTGAGGAAGCTCAGGGTGGATGTTCCTTTCTGAAGTTAGACCTTGATAGATCTACAGAGGTTTTGTTTTTTGTGTGTATTTTTTTTGGTGGGGGGAGTACCAAACGCAACAGTCTTTAGTGACTGCTCAAGCTCTGTGCTCTGGGATTGTTCTTGCTTTGTCTCTGTGCTTTTTATTCCTATTCTGTACACTCTTGTTTTGTGGTGCAGGGGACCATGTTGTGCTGGGGGTTATATAACCAGGTGCCCGACATGCCAAGACTGCACTAGACCTGTGAACCATCTCCCAGCTCATGAACAGATTGTAACTTTATCTTACAGTGATTCAGTAAAAAAAAAAAAAAAGTAATAAAGGCTAGAGAGGTAGTTTGCTTTGCACATGTCGACCGGGGTTTATTCTCCAGCATCCCACATGGTTCCCTGAGTCCTGCCAGGCATATAATTCCTTAGTGCAGAGCCAGGAATTACCCTGAGTACTGCTGTGTGGGTGGGCCCCTGACCAAACAAACAAAAAAATGAAAAAGGAATAAAGGGGTTAAAGTAATACAGGGACTAAAGTGCTTGCCTTGAACATGATTGATCCCCAATTGATCTCCAAGTGATCCTTGAGTACAGAACCAGGAGTAGGCTCTGAGCACTGTTGACCCAAAAGCACACGTGTGTGTGTGTGTGTATGCACGTACATGCACCAATGCTCAGTAGCCTTTTATAAAATTTGTGTGATAAGCTTTGAGGCATGCTGGGGATTTTTCTTATTCTCTTGCTTCTATGTAAGTGGTGTGGGAGTGGCCTTGTGCTGCTTAAGTCGAGAGAATAGTGATGGCAGCTGTTGAAAACAACACTGGTGTGGTGTGTGTGTGTGTAATTAAGCCCAGGACTCCTTACATGCAAGGTGGTTCTCTGCCCAGCCAGCCTGCTGTGCAATTGAGGAACTAAAGGTCACTGGATAGATAGATTTCTATGATTTTGTGGTTTGAAATTTCAGCTCCTTTTTTCTCATGACATGTTTAACCAGGCAATAAAGCTGTATCTGCAGGGTCTGTAGCAATAGAACTTTGCACGTGGTGCACCTGGGTTCAATCTTTGGCATCCCATATGGTTCCCAAGGATTGCTAGGAGTAATTCCTGAATGCAGAGCCAGGTGTAACCCCTGAGCATCACTGGATGTCGGCCCCAAAACAAAAAAACTGCACTTGCATTTATGCATACCCATGATACACAAATGCCCGAGTAGTTTTGTGTATAATATAGAAAATGTGTTTATATAAAAGTTGAATTGATGGTCCCAGAGAGATAGTACAGTGTGAAGGCACTTGCCTTGCATGTGACTAGTCCGTTCAATCCCTGGCACCGAATATGGTTCCCCAAGCATGGTCGAGGGTTACTCCCTGAGCACAACGGCAGGAGTGTCCAACCACTTCTCACTCCCCAATCTCCCTCCTCCTCCTCCCCAAATTGAGTTGTGAATTAAGTTGACTCTGTGATCTCTAATGTCAGTGGATGTTGATTGATCTGCAGGAAATTTCGAGTGATCCGAGCAGATTTGTATTTGAAGAATTTTGCTTCTGACCGCTCTCACATGATCGATGCCAGCGGGAACTGGAGAGAACCTCCTCCGTCTTATCCATGCATCGAAACCGGAGGTGAACGGAAGCTGCCCTCTCCCAGGGATTTCTGACCACTGGGCCATCTGCACTTTGCCACATCCGAGGACAATACTTGAGTGTAATATTTGTGTAAGCCTCCCTGAGCAGCAAGGACATGGGAGAGGATAGCCGGAGAAGAGTTCTTTATATTTGTTAGATATTTGTTAGATTAGGAATTGAGATACGGAGACCAGGATTGGAGGACGTAAGAACCACGGGACAGGAAAGGTACTGGCTGCAGAACCACGTTATTACAAACTGCTCTTGTGGCGTGTGGTGATAGCCATTCTTAGGTCCATGGAGGCCCTGTTCTCTATGTTCATGTAACAGTGAGATCAGTTGCAACCCCATCCTTGTGGCCTTACACATTCTGGTATCCAGAATCCCCTGTGCATTCTCAAGAGTCTACAGAATGTTACTCCTCTGGCTCTGTGGTGAAATCTCATTGGCAGGAGCCTGAGCTCTAGCAGGTTTTATTGCATCGCATGGTTGTCACTTTTGGGGACTCTTACGTATCAGTCCAATTTATAATTTCCTGGGCCGTCAGTCAATAAAGGCCTCCACACCCTCCTCCCCTTGTTTGGCACTCAGGCCAGTCAGACACCTATTTAAGACTCTGACTAGTACCAACACTGGCATGGAATGGTGAGCTCATCCAGTTCTCACATGGGAAACGTGCTCTTTTCGCTATGTGACCTGCCAGCAGCATCCAGAGTTCAGCCAGGAAGAAAGGGAGAAAACATTCTGGGCATGTTTCTTTTTGTTGTTGTTTTGTTTTTGGACTATACTTGGTGGTGCTGGGGGGCTGACTCCTGGCTCTGCACTCAGGCATCACTTCTGGTCATGCCCTGGGATCAAACCTGGGTTGGGCATGTGCAGAGCAAGAGCCGTAGCCTCTATACCGTCTCTCCAGCTCAATTCTGGGCATGTTTGAAGGAAGTGAATATGGCAGAGGATGCAGACTCTGATTTTGTCACAAACTCATTTGTTATTATTACTGGGAATCAAACCCAGGACCTCACACATGCAAGGCTGGTGAAACTCATAATTTAATTTTATTATTTTATTTCTTCTTTTTGGGTTTTAGTTTTTGTGGGGTGGGGGATGTGGTCCATAACTAACAGTGCTCAGGGGCAATTCCTGGCTCTGTGCCTATTCCTGGCAGTACCTGGGGGACCATATGTGATGCTGGGGATGGAATTGAATTGGCTGCAGGCAGGACAAATGCCTTTACTTCCATACTCTATCTCCTGTCCCAGACTTTGTGAATTTTATATCATTAGTTGCTAGGTCTCAAACATACTTTGAGAAGTTGATGTTGCTTTTTTCCCCCAGCATGCAATTAAGTTACTTGGAGTCAGTTTGATCCTTTGAAGATTTTGAGGCTGCTTCAGAGCTGACTTGCATCTCTGGCTTACTTAGCTCCACTACTCTGCAGTCGGGCTGGAGTGATAGCACCGCGGTAGGGCGTTTGCCTTGCACGCAGCCAACATGGCTGACCCAAGTTCGATTCCTCTGCCCCACTCGGAAAGCCCGGCAAGCTACCGAGAGTATCTCGCCCGCACGGCAGAGCCTGGCAAGCTACCCGTGATGTATTTGATATGCCAAACACAGTAACAAGAAAGTCTCATGATGGAGACGTTACTGGGCCTGCTCGAGCAAATCGATGAACAACGGGAGGACAGTGACAGTGACAGGACAGTGACTCTGCAGTCAGCCCATTCTGAGGAGTCTGCCTATTGCTCTCCTTCAACAAGTTCTCTGGCTGTGGAAATTCTGGGAATTAATGGACCAGCCGCCTCTACTGTGTTTTCCCTTCAGCCTCAGGAGATAAAGTGTCTGGCCATCTATGTCCATCCTCCCTCCATTTGGGGGTTGGTCCCTTCCACAGATTACTGTTTCTCTGTGACTGTCACCTCTGTCCTCTATCCCCAGATCCAACTGCCTGGGACTCCTCAGCTAGATCTCTGCCTTCCCATGTCTGGGAACTGCCCTACTGTCCTGTGGAAGCTGCAGTTAACCCAGCTCATTTCTACAGTTCTCAGGAACCTGTCATGTGTCTGGGAATAGTCACTTCATCTATTTTGAAGTCAAAGATCAGTTCCCATAACAGTTCTTTGATGGGGAGAAGTAGAAATCTGAACACAATTTAAACTATTGTTTTCTTATAGTCAAGTCATGTTTACGGAGGTGTCATGCTTTGCGGTAGCAATGATGTTTCTGTTTTATAATTGCAGTATTAACTACACGCCTCCAGCATCAGTGTGGCATTATCCCTCCACCATTAGTTTAAGATCCCTCCTTCCTGCCCCTTTACACCCCTAGTTTTGAGTTCTGTTGACAGTGATTCAGGGCTTGTTTACTTTTCTGGGTGTGCTATACCTTGCATGCTCAGGAATTGCTTCTGGCAGTACTCCGGGGACCATGAAGTGCAAGGTTTCAAACCCAAGCTTCCTGCATGCAAAACATGTGCTCAGCATAGGGAGTTGTTTCTCCAGCAATAAACATTTTTTAAATGGTACATTTAAGTCTTACACAAAACTAGACAAAACTTAATTTATATCCACTTTTACCCTGCTTGCATTACTTTGAAGTAAATCCCAGATACTTTGTATACTTTCAATTCTAAGATTTTGTTTTAGGGTTCCCCCTACCCCCATACTCAAGAGCTACTCCTGGCTTTGGGCAACCACATGGGGTGCTGCAGGGGATTGAACTAGAGTCAGCCTCCAGCAGAACAAGACTTGTAACCCCTGGTTCCACCTATGTACTCTTTACTCAGAGGCCTTTAAGTGAATACTGATGACTTGTGGACCTTATTTCAGTTTTGTACTTTTTCACATTATCTACTTCCTGCCTGGAATCGAACCTGGATATTACCTTTGGGTTTTGGTCTCCAGGTTCTCCTCCCATGTGTGATGGTGATTCCTTTTCGTTTCCTTTTCTAAATTTTACACTATTTTGTTTGTTTTGGTTTTGGGGCCACACCTGGCAGTGCTCAGGACCTTGCTCTGAGCAGTCCTGGCTCTGAGCTCAGGAATCACTCCTGGCAGTCTTGGGGGACCATACGGGGTGCCAGGGATGGAATCAAGGTTGGCGGCATGCAAAGCAAGCACCCTGCTTGCTGTGCTTACCCTCTGGCCCTACTTAATTTACACTACTGAAGAGTATTAGGTTTAAAAGTGTTTATAAAATTACAATTTCAGTAATACAGCTTATTATTATTTGGATGATATGGCTGCCCGAGTGTTAAGGTTTTGACGTACCAAGTTACTGCACCATGTCACCACAAGAGTGCCTGTTGACCCTCCGTCATTGTCCCTAGCTCCCCTTTGTTCTGATCTTCATTCTTCTCCATCTGTAAGTCAAAACTATTTCAATTCCCTTGTCTCTGTACTCCACAGATGAGTGGGAACATCTGGTATTTGTTCTCCACCCCCCCCCCCCCCCCACCAGTCCAGTATTCTGTGGTGCATCTCTAATTTTGGGTTTGTGTGTTCAGTTTTGATTACATTGAGGTGTCATGTGCATTTGAGACAAGAATACCACAGAAGTGATCTATTAAACTCTGATCCATGATGGCGCCTTCAGACTTCCAGATACCCCAAGATTGCTGCTGTGCCTTTGGCCAGACCCCAAAAACTTGGGGCAAAGTTTACAAGAAAGTAAACGGCCAAAAGTTAGGTATGTGGGAGACACACCCACAGACCACCTCTGGCTCAGCTATATAATTGGAGACATGGCCTCTCTGGTTCCTGATTGAATTGCTTAACGACCATGATCCCAGAGACTCAGAAATGAATCTCGGAACCCAAAGGCTTTTGGCAGAAATGCGTCCTGTTCCTGCAGTAGGTTACTGGTGCTGGGCCGCTCCAGGTGGGAACAGGTTTCATGCCTTGGCCTGTTCCTCCACGCGGCCTGGTGACTGCCATCCTCCAGAGGCTTATAGGAAAGCCAGGTATGAGCCGGTGGTGACAGGGCAACTGCAGTCTTATGGGAAGGGGGACGGTACCAGCTCGTCTTTCATGCCGTACTGAGGTCATGAGTTGCCCCCCATGAGTGGCTCTCCGCCATGGCCATGGCTCCAGAGGCAAAAGGACTTAATCCAGAGCCTGGCAGCTTGCGGCAGAAAAGTGAATGGACCATGCATTAAACTAGGGTGCCATACCTCCCCGGGAGGGAAATGGTGTTTCTCCCTTCCACCCCCCCCCCCTTCCCCGGCAGCAAGATGGCCTCCGCCTCAGAGCTTATAGGAAAGCCAGATAAGAGCTGGCAATGACGGGGCAACTGCAGTCTCATGGGAAGGGGGGTGGTACCGGCTTGTCCTTCATGCCCTACCAAGGTCACGAGTTGCTCCCCATGAGCGGCTGTCTGGCACAGCCATAACACTAGATGCACAGAAACCAATCTCTTAATTATCTGGCTCTTTGCAGAAATCCAAAATCGTGGCTGCGTGACTTTATATGATTCTCATAACAAGCTATAGAAAACAAGTATTTCACAATGCCTTTTCAGCAATTCTGACTGTTGTGGGGGAAAGTCTAAACAATAACGGTGCATCTTTTGTCGAAATAATGAATGTCATCAATATAGAGAAGAGTTAAGTAGAAATATCTGCCTCACAGGCATTGGGAGGGGTGGGAGGGGGGTATATTGGGGTTCTTGGTGGTGAAAAATGAGTGCTGGTGAAGGGAAAGGTGTTTGATCATTGTATGACCGAGGCAAATCTGAAAGCTTAGTAACTTTTCCCACAGTGATTTAATAAATAAAAGAAGAAAAAAAAACTGATCCATTCAAATAATTTCCCCTAATGGAAGTCGCCTCCTTTGTTTTATTGCTGTATTATCAAAATTCTTGTTTTTTTTTTCCCATTTCAAAACAGCGTTTCATTGGCCATTTCTTTCTTGTATTTTTCTAGATTCCAAAATGAACCTGAATGATTTTATCAGCATGGATCCGGAGGTCGGATGGGGCGTTGTCTATTCGCTCTCTGAGTTTGTCCATCGCTTTGGCAGTCTCAACTACTGAACTGGACAGGTGGAGGCGAAGTACAAGAGAAAATCTAGCTGTGAACAACAGATGCCTTTGTTTGGGATAGCAAATGGTAATGGTGCATTTGACCTGGAATTATGTTTCCCTCTTTAAATTCAATTAAGTTGAAACACAAGTGAACACAAATACAGTTGTCTAAATATTTGGGGGTGTGTCCAGTTGAAACTTGATGTAGTGTGTATTTGTCCTGATACTCCTGTGTCTTATTTGTTAAAACATGGCGACATGCCAGGACCTGCCCTTGGTCTGACAGGGTTGTGGATTTTGTGCCAGTTTGATCAGTTGGGTTCTCCCCCAGCGATATTATAAGCTCTTTGAGGCCAGACACATCGCTTGGTGCTCCGTGAATCATGGATGTTTATGGAAAAGCCCAGGAAGTGTTTGCTAGTGATTGTTCTGTTGCTGGAGGAGGGCTAATATTGTGAGCTGAATCAGCAGTAAGTCTTAGTCTTTTTTGACTATATAATAGTTTCTTATAAAAGAATGCAGCCCTCTCAGGCTTGAGTGATATCTGGCTTATTTATGTATGTTTCTAAATAAAAATAATTTTGTTTGGAAGAATCTGTATCTTCTTTGTTTGTTTTTATTTTGAGGGGCCATTCCTGGCAGTGCTCAGGGGTTGTTCCTGGCTCTATGTTCAGGAGTGACCTGATCCTATAGACTTTAGATTTTTTTTCTCTTTCTTTTTTTTTTTTTTTTATTAGTGAAACACCATGAGGTACAGTTGTAGACTTACAAGTTGTTGTGCTTGGGTTTCAGTTATACAATGATCCAGTACCCATCCCACCACCAGTACCCATTCTCCACCCCCACCAATCCCAGTATCCCTCCCATGCCCCCATCCCCCATCCCACCCTGCCTCTGTGGCAGGGCACTCCCTTTTGTTCTCTCTCTCCTTTTGGGTGCTGTGGTTTGCAAAAGAGGCATTGGGTGGCAATCATGTTCGGTCTATAGTCTACTTTCAGCATGCATCTCCCATCCTGGGCGGGTCTTCCCAGAACCCTTTATTTGGTGCTCCCTTCTCTGTCTGAGCTGCCTTTACCCCTAGACTGTGCGGCTGGCCTCGAAGCCATGGAGTGAACCTTCTGGTATTTATCACAGCTGTTCTTGGGTGTTAGACTCTTATTTTGTTTCTTTATGTTACCCAGATGAATGCATTCTTTCTATGTAGACTTCAAATTTTTTAAAAAATTGAATCACCATGAGATACACAGTTACAAAATTGTTCAGTCATACAAGGTTCCAACATCCATCCCTTCACCAGTGTACCTTTGGAGTCACCAATGTTTCCCTCCCACCCACACTCCCCAGCCTGCCTCTGTGGCAGATACTTTAACTCTCTGTCTCTCTTTCTCTCCCTACCCCTCTCTTTCCTTTTAGGTACTGTGGCCTGTAATACTATTAGTGAATGGTATTAGCATGAATACTAATAGTATTACTGAAAAGTACTAGTGATACTAGTACTATTACTGAATACTGTTGTCATGTATATCACTTTACCTCTTTTCAACACTGAGTTTTTGTCCAGAGGGATTAATACTATCATTGTCATAGTGTTCTCCCCTTCTCTGTCCTAACTGCACTCCCCAGCAACTTGTGGCAAGCTTCCAACCATGAACTGGTCCTCCTGGCCCTCATTTCTACCATCTTTGGTTATTATTCTCATATTACGGGCTCTTCCCCCCCCCCCCCCCCCCCACATATCCCGCATCCCCTCTCAGAGAGCCCGGCAAGCTACCGAGAGTATCTCGCTCGCACGGCAAAGCCTGGCAAGCTCCCTGTGACGTATTCGATATGCCAAACACAGTAACAAGTGTCACAGTGGAGACGTTACTGGGCCCACTCGAGCAAATCGATGAACAACGGGAGGACTGTGACTGTGATATCCTGCAAGTGAGTGCAATCATTTGACTCCTTTTTTCAGTTTTTTTTTTTTTGGTCACACCCGGTGATGTACACGGGTTACTCCTGGCTCATGTACTCAGGAATTAAATTTTTTCTGGTGGTGCTCGGGGGGCCATATGGGATTCTGGGAATCGAACCCGGGTTGGCCGCGTGCAAGGCAAATGTCCTACCTGTTGTGCTATCACTCCAGCCCCTCCCCAGACTCCATTTACTCAGCATGATGCTTTCCATGTCCATCCGTGTATAAGCAAATTTCATGACTTCATTTTTCCTGGTGGCTGATAGCTGGATTTTTAATATTAATGTTCAGAGCGAAATTCTCAAGCATTGCTAAGCCAGGGAACAGGAACTGAGAATTTGGACCTGCTAGGGAAGGATCCAACTGCAGAATGTATCCCTGCTGAGCCAAGTGCTGGAGGACATTTCTTTTAAATTTGTTTTCTGATCTAGGGAGTCTGTCACAAGATAGTTTTTTTCAGGCAGACAATGTTCCAGCACCAATCCTATCACTAGTGTGACTGTCCCTTTACCAATCTCCCCAGTTTCCCTCCTCCCCCGCACACTCTCTCACATTCTACCAGCCTGCTCCCTTATCAGGCACAAAGCAAATTTACTTCATATTTTCTGAACTCCTAGGTATTTGTCCAAGTCAAGTCAGCCTCAGCTTTTGAACTCCCTAGTCATATTTATGTGTATAATTTTTTTCTCTTGTGAGACTTCTGTCAGGTCTTTTTGGAGAGGTGTTGGGGGTCTGGTGGTGGTTAGGCTACACAGCGCAGGGTTTATGGTTTGCTTCTGGTTCTGGGCTCAGGGACCCTCCTGGTGGTGCTCAAGGGTCTGACAGCACAGTGCCAGGGATTGGATGTTTGTTTGGCTGCATGCAAGGCAAGTGCCTTAAGCCCTGTTCTATCTCTGGGCTCCAGTCTCTCTCAATTTTAACTGAAAAGTGTGGGTCCCTGTGCATGATTTTTTAAAAAGTCACTGATCAGCCTTTGGAACTGTTACTTTTACTATTCTGTGCTTGGGTTTTCTCTGAGCTCAGATTTTCTTCTCAATATGTTCAGTATGTGAGAACTAACTTTACTGAAAAGCACAGCATGGAAAGAGGAACTGTGAGAAAAATCAAGGGACTGAAACAATTTGCAAATAAGCTATGAAAATAAGGAAGAAGGTATCTTTGAGAATCTCATATTATGGAACAGGAAGGCAAGTACAATGGAAAATGGTTCTCAGGTCAGTGGAACTGACCACGTGGCTGAAAGTAATACCAGGCTTTTAAGAAAAATCATGTGTTTCGAAAGAGGGCTGAAAGAGGGGTAATAAAGACAAAGCCTTGTGGTTTGGATTTTTCTCTATTTACATTTTTGTCTTAGGGCCACACCCCAGAGTGCTCAGGGTTTACTCCTAGTATACTTGGGAGTTCTGTTATGGGTCCCAGGGTTTGAAGCCGGGCTGGGTGTAAGGCAAGTGCCTTACCCCGTCTTGTCTCTCTGGCCCTCAGTTTTTTTTTTCTTTTTGGTCACACCCAGCGATGCACAGGAATTACTCCTGGCGATGCTTGGGGGACCGTATGGGATGCTGGGAATTGAACCCGGGCCAGCCACATGCCAGGCAAACACCCTACCCGCTGTGCTATCGCTCCAGCCCCGGCTCTGTTTTAATGAAAAAGGTGGCACATGTTTATGAGGCAGGTAGGGAACTTGCCTTGCACACATCTTACCCAGGCTCCGTCCCCAGAACATAATGGGGTTCCCCGAGTCTGCCAGAAGTGATCCCTCAGGAGTAAACCATAAGAATCACCAGGTGTGTTCCCATTCAAAATAACAACCAAAAAAGCCGAACCTCCACTTCCAAAAAAAGATGGTAGAGTTCAGATTCAAGATGCACAAAAATACCTGAGGAGACGCACCATTCCCTCCTGCTTTGTTCTTCAATTTTCTGATTTCTCAACCCAGAAACATCTGTTTTCAATTTTTTTTTATGTCCTTATAGGTTTCTTTTTCTTTTGTTTTTGGGTTACACCCAGCAGTGATCAGGGCTTACTCCATCTTCCAGTAGCTAGGCGTTACTAGATCAGCCAAGATCCAGGGACTGTAAAACCCAGCCCCTGGAAGAGAACAACGCAGTTTCATGCCCTCGCACCTGACTGTCCTCACCGGGGCCCCTTGGAGGGGAGTGGGTTGAGTTTCCTTCCCTGCCCCGAGAAGAGCACTGGCAGCTGAAGACTTCCGGAACCAGCCACAGCCATGCTTAAGACCATTCTCCACATGCTCGGACGAGCCTCACCCATGAAGGAACTAGCAGAGGAACCCAGGTGTGCAGGACCTGGGGCTGAGATCTCCAAGCCTGCTCAGATTGGGACTGGGACTCCTCCACCCAGATCCCCCATCTTCCAATAGGTAGGCATTACACCCACTGACTGCCCCCGGTATCGTGTAATCCCATCAACGGTCAAGATCCGGAGACTATAAAACCAAGCATTCGCAGTCACGTGACCTCTTATTGTCTAGTTCTCGCTCTTGGAGAACCCAGCAGGCTACCGAGAGTATCCTGCCCACACAGCAGAGTCTGACAAGCTCCCTGTGGCATATTAGATATGCCATAATCCAGTAACAATGATTCCCCTGACCCTGAAAGAACCTCCAATGTGGCACTTGCTAAAATCTCAGGGTTAGCACGAATGAAGACGTTACTGGTGCCTGCTCGAGGAAATCGATGAACAATGGGATGACTGTGATACAGTGATTTGTGTTTGGGTTACACCCAGCAGTGCTCAGGGCTTACTCCTGAGTACACTCAGTACATTCCAGGCAGCACTTTGGAGACCATATGCAATATGTTTCATGCCTGACCTGAGAGACCTTCTTGTCTGAGCCTTTTTTGGTGGGGTGTGGGGGGGGGGGGGGCGGGGGCGGGGTGCACCTGGCTGTGCTCAAGGTTTCTCTTGGCTCTGAGCTTAGGAGTCACTCCAGGTGGGGATGGGATTCATATGGGATGCTGGGGATTGAAGCTGGGTCAGACATGTACGAGGCAAGTGCTCTACCCACTGTGCTATCTCTCTAGTCCTGAGCTATCTTCCGGGCCCATTGAGTATTTCGGGGAGGTGGCTCCCAAAGTAGGGCCCAGGGTGCCTGGGGTTTTACCAGTCGTTCTCGGCTAACTGGGCTGGTATGAAGGGCTTGAGGCAGCCTGGTCTGTGGGGTTTTCTGGCTTGCCCTGGCAATGCTTGTTGGGGGTCTCAAGTTCTGCACTTGGCAATGTGCTGGGGTGCCTGAAATAGAAGCAAGGTAGGTGTATACTAGGCATGCACAGTAACTGCTTTGCTACCTCTCAGTCTCTTTTAATATTGTTCTGGGGCCAGTGGTGCTCACAGGCCACCTCCTGCTTGCTGCATGGTGTGTGTGTGTGTGTGTGTGTGTGTGTGTGTGTGTGTGTGTGTGTGTGTGTGTTGGAGGGGGAGGAGTCCTGTTGCCCCAGGAAAGAGGTGTTAACTCACTGTGTCTTGGTTGGCATTTTCTGGATGAGGAGGTCTGTCTCTTGGCTGCCTCTCTGTAGTCCTAGATATCAGCTCCAAGTCTGCTGGGCCATCTCTGGTGCCTAGGAAGGCTGCTGGTCCCAGGCCACCATGTGCCACCTCATCACCCTCT